AGACTTTATACAGAGCATTCATAGGAATGGTAATAAATGTGACTTAACAAAAAACAATAATTAGTTTTTGGCTAAAGTATTATTGTGTAATGGGCTTTAGAATTCTGTATATATAAGGAGAGCTAGAATGCGCTGCAAGTCATTCCTAATTTTCTTTTTTAATCGAAGTGACGCGAAAACGTTGAAAAAAGTCTTGTGGAGATAGTAATATTAAGAAGAGGAAAGTCGTTATGGATTCAGATAGCGAATCGGAAGCCGAGTCTATAAAAAAGAAAAGACTTAAGAGGTCTTCGTTTGCATTTGATTTAGAGGTAAGTTCAATTTAAATTTATTAATACAATTGTCGTCTTGGTCAGTGACCCAAGTTGCCAAGCTGAGGGCCGTGGGTTCGAGTCCCGGTCGACGCAGATATTTATTTCACAGATAAATATTTGTACTCAGGTCATGGATCTTTGTCGTCTTTATTTTATTCTTTTAATTATTTAACCAATTTTAGTTTATTCATATTAGTAATTAGTGCCTTTGAAAAAATTTTGTTTTGAGTATTATCATCGAGATCGCCATTTCTTACAGATATCAAACAGCACTATAATATTTTTTTAGTTATAAACATTATCAGCCTATTTTTTCTATACAATACTAACATTAATATTTGAAATAATTACAAGGAGATAACGAGTTGCAAGAACCCATTAGAGCGGCGGTGCTGAGAAGTTTTTTATCGCGGCGTGCGGGTTCGGGCTACACGCTGCATAGGGCAGATCCTGTAAAGACGGACGACTACTATGTAGAGCTGCGTGTGTACAACACGAAAGAAGCCGAAAAGCTTGGCTCCGATCGGTGGAAGCGCTCGCTCGTCACTCTGAAGTCTGCTGTAGAAGACAACAGCCTTACGTGGAAAGCTGTGACAAAGTTAGTAGCAGCGGCAAAGGATGAGTACGCTGCTATACAGCCAATTTTATACCCTGTTAATGTTTTCTAACTTTGTTTAGGCACCTATAATAAAGTAATTACGCTCATAATAGCTTAATATTAAATGTTATTGACTTGTAGCACATTATTTTCCTTACTTATGTCTTTTCCTTACAGCAAAGAAAAAATAAGAATTAAAATCTGAATCTAAAAAACTAAAAGCCAGATATTGAAAGTTTAATTTTAAAATACCTGAATGAAGTAATTATTTTCAAAAATTGTATTTATTTTTCCTTGCAGCAACGAAAAACTATGAACTAAAAATTTGAATCTAAAACAAAAAGCCAGATATTGAAAGTTAGATTTTTTGAAATACCTCGATAAAGTAATTATAATTTAAATTTGTGAATCATTTATTATATTACTGTGCGATATACCATATTATTTTCAAAACTGTGTCTCTCCTTACAGCAACGAAAAAATTAAAAACTAAAATCTGAATCTAAAAGAACAAAAAGCGTGATTGAAACTTAAATTTTGAAATACCTAAAATCTAGACAAAGTAATTATAAGTTAGAGTTGTTAATTAGAATTTAAATCTATAAGACAAATATAAATAAAGATTGAAATACATATTTATATACAAGTTTTGAGCAGTATTACACTAAACGTCAATAATAGATATATGATTGAAAATGAAATTCTGCCAGGGCTGTAATGCATATACATAGGCTGCACTAAAAGTATCGGGAATGGAATATTTTCACTGTTCCTGTCATATTAAAATCTTTTTAATTTAAAACTCCTTGGTTTTAAAAATCGAATACCATTTATTTATTTAAAAATAATATTCTCGGTCTTGTCACATGGTTTTGTCAAACTTGTTTAGTCGTTGACAAAATGGAATTGACTCGAGAAAATTCAAGAGCGATGATTTATTATGACTTTCGAAGTGGTTTAACACAAAAATAGTGTGTTGACCGGATGATTTCTGATTTCATTTGGTGACGAAGCCCCATCCAAAACCACAATTTATCGCTGGTTTGCTGAATTTCAACGTGGACGTGTCAAGCTCAGTGATGATCCCCGTCAAGGTCGTCCAAAAACTGCAGTCACCCAAGAAAACGTTGATGCTGTGCGTAAGCTGATTGAGGAAGATCGACATGTGACATACCGAGAAATTCAGGCAACTTTAGACATTGACATGAGTCAAATATAAATAATCTTGCATGAACAATTAGGTGTAAAAAAGTTGTTTTCCCGATGGATACCGCATTCGCTCTGTGAAGAGCAAAAAGCGGCTCGCGTTACTTGGTGCGTCAGAACTCTCGAAAGATTCCACGCAGGATCCTCAAATGCTGTATACAACATCGTATCAGGTGACGAATCCTGGTAATATGCGTACGAACCTGAAACAATAAACCAGTCACGAGTTTGGGTGTTTGAAAATGAGTTAAAGCCAACAAAAATTGTTCGTTCACGGAGTGTTGCAAAAAAAAATGGTGGCCACATTTGTCTCCAAAACCGGCCATGTTACAACTATTCCTCTTGAGGGACAAAAAACGGTTAATGCAGAATGGTATGCTAGCATTTGTTTGCCACAGGTCGTTTCTGAACTCCGTAAAGAAAACTGCAACCGCCGCATCATCCTCCATCACGATAATGCAAGTTCTCACACCGCACACAGAACAAAAGAGTTTTTAGAGCAAGAAAACATAGAATTATTAGACCATCCGCCGTACAGCCCCGACCTAAGCCCTAATGATTTCTATATTTTTCCTAAAATAAAGAATAAATTGCGTGGACAGAGATTTTCATCACCTGAAGAAGCTGTGGACGCCTACAAAACGGCCATTTTGGAGACCCCAACTTCCGAATGGAATGGTTGCTTCAATGATTGGTTCCATCGTATGGAAAAATGTGTTAAATTTCGCGAAGAATACTTCGAAAAGCAATAAACACATTTTTAAATAGTAATGTTGTGTCACTTCCTTGATTCCCGAAATTTTCAGTGCGTACATCAAATCATTCATCACATAAGAAGAGTAATATACATAAAATTAATTGTTTACTTAGAACTGAGTTTGATAATGTTCAGTTAATAGCTACTGCTTTCAAGAATAGGATTGCAAGTTATAGAGTAAATCCAGATTCAAGTGACATAATTATGCCAGAGTTATTCTTTTTTTATTCTGTAATGAAGAAAATATACGAAGATAATAATATCAAACTTTGTTACACTGATACATATAGTCTTTTGTATTTAATTTACACTGAAGACTTCTATAAAGATATGAAAGATAATATTAAGTACTTTGATACAAGTAATTTTCTTGAAAATAATATATACCATATTCCAAAAGCAAATAAACAAATACCAGGGTATTTTAAACATGAATTAGGTGGTGATATTATAACAGAGTTTATAGGCTTGAAAGCAAAATTATACTGCGTTAATACTCTAAAGTCCGCAATTAAATAAGCAAAAGGTGTGAAAAAGCATATTACAAAAAAATTAACTATTGAAAAATATAGAGATATTTTAAATTCTAAGAAAACCCATAGAGACACTATGTACGTTATACGATCTAAGAATCATATACTTTATACGCAAAAAATAAATAAGCTCATTCTTATTGGCAATGATGATAAGCGACAAATATATGAAGATATGTATAAAACTTTGCCTTGGGGACATTATAGGAATTTATTTTAAATAGCATTATATTTTAACTAATGATGAAATATGAAATAATGAAGAATTAAATGATGAAATAAAGTAATAGTAATTTGTAAAAAAATTATAAACATAAACATAATATGCAAACGAAAACAAATTACTTTATTTTGAATATTCTTTACTGCAAATATGTTCTATATTGTAACTAGTATATCGTTATTATAACTCTAGCTAAAATATAAAAACCTTTATATGTAAGTTGAAATAAAAATACTGTATTATCATAATCATATTTTGTTTTATTTATCATCCCATTAGATCCTTAAATACTAAATATTACATAAAAACAATAGATTTAAATACACTTAACTTTTACAACAGAGTTATACATGTCGAAAAAATTAATCATTTATTTATAGACATTTTATTAACATAAATGTTATTAATCGATATTAAACTTAAATACTGGATTTGCTTAGTTTTTTTACCACTTTACAAACTAAATGTTCTATATCATCCATGATGTCATCATATGCACTTGTCACTAGATATTGCACGTTCACAGCTGCATTTCCAGATTCAGTATTTATTTCATCGATATTACGACCATCTAAATCATGTATTATAATTTTTATTAAATGACGTACATCACCCGTTTCCTTTCGCATAATAAATGATGTATTTTTCAAAGAATTTGATTTGATTTTTTTCTTTTTTATTTTTTCCTCCGATTTTTGGCGATGGCTCTGCTCGCGCGTCTTCGTCGCCACTTGATCGTACTAGCCTTGCCTATCTTGAGCATAGTAAAATGGATTAGTAATTGGGTTTGAGTCTTCTATCAAATTCTGAAAGCCAGATATAAAATTACTACCCATGAATTTAAAATCAATTAAAAATAATAAAAACTAAATAGTAATTTACCTCACGTATATTTTCTAAGCTATCCAAAACAGGACTGTAAGATGGTGTATGTGACATGTTTCTGAAAAACAAAAATGAGTATAAGTTACATATTTTATTATATTTATAAGAGTTAGAATTACAATATAAAAAAGAATAAGTTACTTTATTATTTAAATACTTCATTTAAAATACTTACTCCAAATTTCAGCTAAAGAAACAAACGTGCTCTTTATAGAAAGTACTGTAGCGAAATGACGTGATCGCGTGTTGTAAGATGAGAATTGTATAATTTACAGAATAAGCACAATACACTCAGGATTTGTAAGATCAGAATAGCATTATTTTGCAAAGTAAGCATAGATCTACTAAGAAATTTGTAACACGAGAATAGGAGAACATTTAGCAGAACAGACATGATGTGACATGCATTTCTCTCTAATATTGTTCATGGAAAATTTAAATATATACCTACGTTTGTAGGTTAGTAACTCATTCAATAAGCACGATGAAGTTGATCAAACAACCCATATCGCTAAGCGTTAGCAATATTAATATTGATCACTCTGCTCACAAGATCAAACATAGCATTCTTTTACCAAATACCATTCGCTGTATAATATGCGGTCCCTCTAATTGCGGTAAAACAAACGTTGTAATAAGTTTATTGTTGCATGAAAATGGGCTTAAATTTCAAAATCTTTACTTGTATTCAAAAACTAACTATCAACCAAAATATCGTTTTTTACGAGAAGTAATTAAGAGAGTACCTAATATTTCATTTTATGAGTTCAATGATAACAAAGACGTTATAGGTCCAAGTGAAGCTTTAAACAATTCTGTATTTATTTTTGATGATGTTGCTTGTGAAAATCAAATCAACATTCGTAATTATTTTTCTATGGGCAGGCATAAGCAAATCGATTACTTTTATTTATCTCAGACCTACTCAAAAATTCCGAAACAATTGCTACGAGACAATGGCAATTTTATTATAATATTTAAACAAGATGATGTGAACTTAAAACATATTTATGAAGAACATGTTAGTTCTGATATGTCATGGAATCAATTTAAAAATATTTGTAATATAGTTTGGAGTAAGCCGTATAATTTTGTTTGTATTAACAAAGACTCACCGTTAAACAATGGCAGGTATAGAAAGAATTTTGATATTTTTTTTAACCTAGAGTAAACTATTATAAACGGGTTTTTTAGATAAAACTATTTAAGTTTTATTGTATCCGCGATAGAATGAAGATAGAATATTGTAAAGCATTATGGAAAAGCAAATTAAAATGGAGTTGGTGAACTCCATAAAGAATAAAATAAAGAAATTAAAAATAATGAGCATAAACTGAACTTATCCCTAGATAAAATGCTAAAACCTGTTACCCCCTTAAAATCATAGTAAATAAGCAAAAACCAAATCAAGACTATAATTTATCGATGCAATCATGCGCAAGTTCTGCTGGATCATTTGAATCGGAATTTCAGAACTATTACGATGCTGACTTGAGTTCTGCAGAATCCCCAAAAAATGAAATTAAAGACAATTTAGAGGCTTCATTAGATCGGAATTATATCTATGATATTTACGATGATAAATTAAATATACCATTTGGGATAAGAAAAGAAAAGAAAACTTACATGATGGGAAATTCCGAAGTTACTTTTTCTAAAATTGACAGTTTGGATAACGAAACTGTATTTTTAGTAAAAATTGGAGACAAATCTTACAATTCAACTATCGGGTTAAGAGAACTTCTACTTAGAAAAAAACCAGATTTGAATTTAGTATCAAGCGCTGATAAACTCGTGTACAAAGAAATTCTACACCATACTAACGCTCATAAGAGAGATTTTAACCCTAGAGGTCAAATAAGAGGTGATAAGGGAATTAAATATCGAAAAATAATTAAACCATTATTTTCCGAGACACTAATCAAATATAAAAAAATCGAAGAAAAGCTTGGAGGTAATTTACCTAAGCTTAAGAAATATAAAATCAACACTGATATTGTATATTGGGACGATCCAAATTAATTAGTTGATAGTTTAAAACTTTTAATAGGTTTAAGAGATGCGGGCAATACAAATCATGATAATGAAATTTTATCGATCATTGAAGAATCAAAAGAAGCTAACATTATAAAGGAATAAAATACTAATTATTACTAGCTTTTCCTCAGTATTGGTGAAGTTGCTCATGTTGCAAATTACTAAAAAATTGTCTGTATTTATTTAAGTAACAAGCAGCATAAACGAATTATTTTTAATAACTACCAACATAAGAAAAAAATAAAATACATTATATTTTTGAACATGAGTAAAGCCGATTTAGTAAATGAAATTCATAGAAATGCTAGGGTGAATTTCCCACGTAGAAATGTTATTACGAAAGATATAGATGATTTATGGCAAGCAAACTTAATTGATATGCAATCAGTTTCTAAGGAAAACAAAAACTTCAGATTTATTCTTACCGTTATTGATACGTTTTCGAAATACTCTTGGGCTTTTACAATTAAGACTAAAAGTAAAGAGGACGTATGCTATAATTTTATGATGCTCCTAAAAACACGTGTACCCAAAATCTGCAAACCGTCAATGGAACAGAATTTTATAACGATAAGTTTAAAAAAATTTTGAATTCTTATATTATTAATCATTACTCAACCTTTTCAACAAAGAAGGCTTCCATAGTTGAACGATTTATTCGAACTTTGAAATCTAAATTGTATAAAGCATTTAGTTTACAGGGTAATTAAAACTGGATAGGCGATAGTCTTAATAATGTTATTTACGAATACAATCACACTTATCATCGAACTATTAGTGAAATTCCAGCCAATGTTAATAATAAAAGTAAAAAACGAATACTACAGAGATACCTTAGATTGGTAAAGAATGATAATGTAAAACGTAAGTTTAACGTAGGTGATTATGTGCGTATAAGCAAATACAAAGGTACATTCGAAAAAGGATATACTCCAAATTGGTCGACAGAAATATTTAAAATTCGAAAATTACAGAACACAATTCCAACCACTTACTTAATTGAAGATACAATTAGAGGTCAACAAATTTTAGGAGGATTTTATACGCAAGAGCTACAAAAGACCAAATATCCAAACAAATATTTAGTCGAAAAAGTTTTAAGAAGGAAAGGAAATAAAGTTTTAGTAAAATGGCTAGGTTTGTCTTCTAGTGAAAACAGTTGTATCGATAAGTCAAATATATTGTAATAGACTTACTGACCACTGTGTTTAACATTAAGAACAAATAAGAAAAAATGGTATATTTAATAAATATCCCAAGCGCGATTAAACAGTCTTATGATGTACATTGATGAGAGTAGTCTTCTCAATTGGTTGATTAATAATTTACCATTTGAATAACATTTACCGGGATACAATTATTGTGTTCCTGGTACAAATTTAATCAAAAAACTATCACGTGGAGTCAAAGGTATAAAGAAATTAGACGAATTTTGTAAAGAACACGACATTGCGTATCACAAATATTCAAACTTAAAGGATCGACATAAGGCGGATTTAGTTTTTTTAAAAATGGCAAAAACACGAGAGATTGCTCCCGATGCAAATTTGGGAGAAAAGTTTGCAGCAAAGATAGTAAGCAAAGCTATGCAATCAAAAATTAAAACTGGGGCTGGCCTAAATAATGGCAACAGTAATAAAATGCCTCCGAGAAAGTTGGGGAATGAATTTAAAAATAAGTTTAAGAATATCATTACAAAAACGAAAAGAAGTATGCAAAAATTAAAACCAAAATGCAAGAAAGCAGCAATTGAGCTAGCTATAGCTGGTGCTAGAGAACTAGTTGATAATTCTGTTATAAAACTTCCTCGCATTATTCCTATACCAAAAACTGATGGGGTACTTACTACCTTTGATTCCGATTTTTGCCGGATTATCGGCTACGGGAGCCTTAGCAGGTGGTACAGCTGGTATACTTAAAACTATAAATGAAATCAAAATGGCTAAAAAAACAATTTGCTGAATTGAAGAGACACAATGAAAAAATGGAAGCTCTTTGTATCGGAAATGGGTTACAGTTTAAGCCTCATAAAAATGGATTTGACATTTTTGTATCTAAAGAAATAAAAAACTAGAATATAGGCTATCCAAACGCGCCTTAACTAACATTGACATTTTAAAGTATGGACAAAATATTCCCTATTTTCGAGGTGTCTTTATGAGAGATGAGCTCCCAACACACCCTTTTAAAAAAAGAATGTGAAGTTATAAATTTAGATATTTCCTCAAATCCGGGATCTCATTGGGTAGCCTATGTAAAATTTAATAATTATGTTGAATATTTTGACAGTTATGGAAATCTTAAACCTCCAATGAAATTGATAAAATATTTAGGTCCTAAAGTCCACGATAATTATGATAACATACAGCGTGATCATCCTTTTAATTGTGGACATCTTTGTTTGATTTTTTCAAATTCAAGACATATCATTCAAGACATAGGCGCAATCAAGACATAATGTAGTATCTACATAGTATCTATACGTATGTTTGGGTATAATATAATATATAAACTTAACAATAACGTAATTACAGACAGTCTTACGTCAACACTCAAGTGTTTCATTTCCCTCGTCCTTACATGACGACCCTGCCAGGCGGTGCGCTGCGGCAATGCAAGCGCATCGCCGGGCCTATTTAAAATAAAAAAAATGGGAATAAATATTGCTAAGTTAAATAAAGAAGACCTGAGTAAAATTATTGACAATAAAGTAATATTACGACGCAATGAATACAACACCGGACGTGACGAAACATAAATAAATATGAATTCGAGAAGAAGCCACAATAACACAATAAGAATTTTATAGAAGCTGACTGAAAATTTAAAATCTATAATATATAGTACTATGAAGACAACTAACGAAGAATGAGGAAAATAAAATGTGGATTATTTTATATGATGACCTAAGTTCAAAATTCAAGAAACGGCAGATTAGTTTTCAAAGGAAAGTAACAGTACTTTTGCAAGCTTCATGCAGAAGAATATAAAAATTGAGCCAAAAAAGAACAAAAATGAAAATTTGAGGTAATGGCATTAGCCTACTTTTTGTCATTTCTTTATAAGATTTCTTTAAAAAGTTTTAAATATTATAAAAAAAAATTTATGTACTAAATATTCTGTATTTCATATATGCTTAAATTGAAATTAATTATTTGATATTTTATATTAACGATTTATTTCTTATTTTATTGTTGTTTTAAAAAAAAAATCATATTACAATAATAAATTAAGTTACGTAAGTGCTTCAGTGGTATTTGTATTAAAGCACTAAACGATTTTATATTTACTTTTATTCAGTAATTGTTTTGCAAAGAAAATAATGAAATAATATGAAAGATAAAATTTTTACGCACTTAATTGCACCAAATTTATTGTTAAAATAACAATGTGATACATTTCGTTGTTTTTTTTTTTTCTGTAGTCTTTTAATATAAAATTATACAATTCATTCAACAAAATAATTCTACACATTCAACACCATATTTTTTTATTATGTTTTAGACTATATAAAATAAAAAAAGCACATAATGCATTTAATATTAAATGTACGTTATTTACAAGTAACTTGAAAATATTTGTCACATTTTATAATATTTCTACTATATTCAAAAAAAAAAACAATATATTGAGCTACATTTTAGGATGACCAGGTTCGGATTAAAGCAAATATATTTTTAAATCTAACCCAAATTTATTTCTGTAGTAATTTTTATTTAAATGTATATAATTTTGAAGGATTTAAAAAAATCGCTATTAATAAAAGTCATAATTATTTTTCTTCTTTTCTAAAGGTATGAAAACCTTGAAACAATTTTAAAGTTATAAATAAATAAATATATATTCTTTAATAAATAACCTTAAAGTTAATATAACCTACTTAAAAATGAAAATTGATCTTCTCAATGTTTAAATAAATTAATGTTTTGTTTATATAAACTTGGTAGCCGTTATAGTGATGACGACTTATGTTCCCATTATTATTTCTTTGTTTAATTTGAATATGAAATGCAATAATTTTTTTATAACTTCGATTTTATATTTATTGAACTTTTAAATCATAAACTTTTAATTTTTATAATTCATTATTTCCTGGGAAAATGATAAAGTTTGAATTATTTAACTTATTTGTAT